CGTAGCGCATCAGCATGTGCCGGTTTGCGTCACCGCTTCGCAGTCTGGATGATAATCATGCGGCAGCCGCATACGGCCCCTTTCTTCCTCCTATATGCTCGTCTCCAGCCCCCCCCCCCCCCCCCCCCCCCCCCCCTCCTCTCTGCGAGTTCGGGGATCATCCCAACAACGGACACACGACGACGTGGGGCACCGTGTCATGTGTGTCGCGCGCGTGTATGTGAGTGTGACTTTGTTCCGTCCCACGCAGAGACACGCGCCGCGGTTGTCGTCGTCTGATCCGGCCGGGACCCTAATACGGCCCGCCGCGGTAGTCCGGCCCGGGAATACTCAATGACGCTCCTCTTCATGGTAAGACGTGGTGCCGGTCTGAGAACAATGGAGTGGCAGCCGTGTTCTTCTTCCTCCAGCTTGCGACCGAGTAAGTCTGTGTGTGTGTGTGGGGGGGGGGGTGTTCCGAGTGTGTTATGACAGAGAAAGTGACCGCGCTGCTCGGGCCACTCGGTCTGGCTCTGGCGGGGCGGCGCGGTGCGGTGCGGGGTGCGAAGTGAACAACAAGGCGGGCGTCGTTCGCCCTCGCTACTTTGCCTCGCCGCGTTGACCGATGAGCTGGCAGTAGAGGGGACCCGTTTGCAACCCGTTGTGACCAGGGCCAAGCACCTGCCTCGGAGGAGGCTATCCCCGACAAGTAGTGCGTCATCTGCGGCCTCGGAAAGCCCTGTGCCCTGTGAGCGACGCGGTCGAGTCCTGCTCGCCGATATGTCCCCCGGTATGGATGCAGTGGCCACCTACCTCTTCAGCCGCAGCAATAGCAACCGGCCTCACTTGTGACCCGACCATACCTCTCCAGAAAGAAAATAAAACGGCTGCTTGAAAAGAGAGGGAGAATAGTTAGGACGCAAGGATGGGATGACACTGCTTGCGGCGACGCGGGCAGTCTGGGCAGGCGACAAGTCTGCCCGCAACGCCGCTGCACAGCCCCGGGCCCCGGGCCTCGCGGCTAGGCTATGGGCGGGACGAACGGATCCACTTATGCAACCGGCCGCTGGCCTGCTGGGCCCGCTCGAGGCGCGCGCATAGCGTAGGGACACGGCGGGACGCGGCGGGACGCGGTGGGACACAGTGGGACATGGTGGGACAGCAAGACTACCGCCACTCTTGCCTTCCGCTTCGCGCCCCGCCCACCCGCCCCCGCGGGGGGCAACGACGCCTTGCTAGCCGCAGAATAAAGCAGCATTTTCCCCCCTTCTCATATTCGACTCCCGCAGAGATGGTCGGCTGCTTCTCGGCGCTCAACAACCCCCTGAAGCGGCTGCCCCAGAGCCCCGAGAGCGTGGACACCAAGTTCTGGCTGATGACGCGCTCCAACCAGACGCACACGCCGCAGCGGCTGCGTTACGGTGACGGCCTGCGCTCGCTCATTTCGTCCGACTTCGACCCCAACAAGACCACGCGGGTGCTCATCCACGGCTTCAAGGGCTCGGCGCACGACGACGGCGCGCTGGCGGGCGCCACGGCCTTCCTCAACATGGTGAGCAACACGTCAGAGACCGATATACACACCCAGAGAAAGGCGAGTCCTTCAATCGAGTAAATTCGCAGTGGGACAAGGCAGTGCACTTGCAGCCATCCAGTGTAATGCTGATCCAATGCAAATTTACTTGTTTCAAGAACTCCTTTTTCTAGGTCGGCCCGCTCGGTCCTCCCGCATACCGTGCGGTGCAACTACGAAAGTGGACGCGACCAATCAGACACCTGGTCAAAAAAATGCACTGGCGCAAACGACCAGCAGTTATGTGCAATCTATAAAACGAGTCGAACGGCCGCTCCCATTTCACCGTTTCACTTAGCAGGTTGATAATAACAAAAATATGTCATCGACAGCGAGAAAGTAGTACCGCACCTTCTTACCCTGGCGCATGACGCCTTGCCTGCAGGAGGACATCAACATGGTCATGGTGGACTGGGAGAAGGGCGCCTCTTCGCCCTACACCACGGCAGCCGCCAACACGGAGCTCATCGGCAGGCAGGTAAATAACTACACTTAGCGCTCGCACGATCGTTGTCGGGCGCCCCCGCGGGGTCCCGAAGACCCTACCCTTTTACGGCGTAAGGTAAGGTGCGGGGCAAGTTTCATACAACGCGGCCGCCACCTCCTTCCAGGTGGGCCTGCTGCTGCTCGACATGCTGTCGGTGGGCGCGCCGCCCGACTCCATCCACGTGGTGGGCTTCTCGCTGGGCGCGCACGTGGCGGGCTGCGCCGGCCAGGTGGTCAAGAACAGGGGCCGCATGATCGGCCGCATCTCGGGCCTGGACCCCGCGTCCCCGCTGTTCCGGCGCCAGCTGCTCCGCGAGGCCGCGCAGAAGCTGGACGCCGGCGACGCGCGCTTCGTCGACGTGATCCACACGGACGGCGGCGCCCTCTGGACGGACGGCTTCGGCCTGCCCGGGGCGCTGGGCCACGTCGACTACTTCCCCAACGGCGGTCGGCAGCAGCCCGGCTGCAGTGACCCCAGGGCCTCCGTGGTCGTCAGCCACTTCGGTGAGTGTGAGTGGGCCGTTCGAGGAGCCATGTTTTGACGTCAACGGCGTCGCACTGTGACCTTTGACCTTCCCGTGCTTCCTGCTGATTTATTTTACCATTTGCAGAGGGGGTGGTGAACTCGACCACTGTCTGCAGCCATGCCCGCGCCTGGTCGCTGTTCCTGGAAACCATCGCGGTGCCCAAGCCCGGTCACTGTCAGTTCCAGGGCTACCCCTGCCCGCAGGGCATCACCGCCTTCCAGCAGGGGCACTGCTTCCCCACACTCAAGTCCTGCACGCCATCGGACCCAGGTGAGCGGCCAGTCCGGGCCAGAGGTTCCCTGCTCGGCCCGCAAACGGATTTCCCGCTCTTTACAGATAATGTGGGTTGACGCTCAACTCTGCCCGCCACACGATTTCTTTCGACAGACGCGCCGCTGCCATCCTCGTGCGGTGTGATGGGGTTGCGCGCCCAAGAGACACCGGCCAGGGGCCCGTTGTACCTGGTCACCAGGGACGCGTACCCTTTCTGTGGTGAGTTTGCAGAGTTCAGTGCGGAGGTGCGCCCCTGGGAGGAAGGCCGGCCCGTGCGCACGCGGGGCTTGCGGGCCGGCCTACCTCCCGACGCTGAGGCGGTGCAGCCCCCCTGTGAGGTAGGCCGGCCC